CATGCAAGAAAATACCCTGCATATTCAGGAAAGTCACCACATAATCCAAAAGGCTGTTTAAAAACCTGGCTGTCACAGATTTTAGGATTTACCAGGTCAATTGCAAACATCCTGCTTGTTCTCTTTCCCCCCATCTCTYTCCCCAGCCCGGTTAGCTCCAACATTTCCTGCCTAGTGCACAAGCCCAAATAAGCATCTTCAAACTTCCACACAAGGATCAAAACCTTCACTTCCTGATGGATTTATTAAAGCCACCAGCTAGCTGACATTAAAAACACATGGCTTTCTTCAGAAATACTAAAGTCAGTCCACTTTCTCAGCAGTTAAAATGCTCCTCAAGAAGCAGAGCTGCTCAGAGCTTGTCTGGGGCTGCAGGACCTCCCCGAGCAGTTACTCTGCCGCGTGCTCCGCCTGGGTTTACATCTGGAAATCTCTTTTGTCCAGCACTAAAGGAAATGAGAGTAGGAGGAAGGCAGCCGGGCTGCTGGAAGGCAGGGACCTGCAGCACTGATAAGCTGGGGCTGTGCACTGCGAGCACAAAACTCACTGCAGATAAATCATGGTCTGGAGAAGAGAATTATATCCCCACAGGTTTCGTGCTGAGTACTCATGACATTAAAATCCAGGCTGCTCATGCATCTCAGAAGATCAACACAACCTGTTCCCACTTCTGAAGGGACGTGTCCACCTGTGTGTTAGGAAGTGGGGTACTCAGAGACCAGTTGGTTGTAAACAGTTTCCACTAATGTCCTGATAAGTTCCTCAGCATTTAAAACCTTCAAAACAGTTTTGCTCGGCCAATTCCAAAGAAGAAAGAACAGCTTGAAAAGCCTCTTCACAAACTCCAATGAGGAGCTAGGCACAAGAGAACAGCAAAGCAAGGGTGCAACCCTCGTGCAACTGCTCCAGGATGCACAACACACACTATTTTGGAGACAGCATTGGAAGAGAAACAGTCACTGTCCACAAGCCCARCATGACCGGCCCCTCCACGCTCACTGACAGCAAAACAGCAGTTGTTTTACACACTCTGAGCTACCTTCTCCTTTGCAGCACTGCACAGGCACCTTCATCAACAGCTCTCTGCTTTCTACCCCAAACGCCAGGGWCTCTTTGGCTTTCCTGAGAACTTGCTCCTCAAGCAGCAGGAACCAACTTTGTGAGGCTCAGCTGGAACATTAACATTCAAAGTTAAAACTTCTTGGTTTGCAACAATCCTGTTGGAAAACACCACACTTTGCTGCTGTCCCCGCCACAGACACAGGATAATTCGTTTTTCCCTCAATAGCAGATGCAGCTGCTTTGCTGTAAAAGCCCAGAGTTGAGAGATGACTTCTTCCACTTGTCATAACCCATTGTGTGGGAGAAGCAAGCCCACAATTCCACATTGTTCCCTGCACCACACTTGGAGCTGTACTTTCTGCTCTGAACACACTGAAACTCCACTTGAGGCTCCAGCAATTTCCACACAGGAGGCAAAGGAGAATCTTGTATCTGATCTAATACAAGATAAATCAATGTACACTCATTTATTGCTGATAGTTCCCATCAGCTCAAGGAGAGACACTGTCCYAGAGTTTCAAGGCCATCCACACTGCCTTTGTATACAGAAAACATACCTCGCACTTAAAGATATTTTAAGCAGCTACTATGTTGTAGTAGTTCGGGTGAGAGACTAGAAATTGCTGTTTTCCCCCCATTTGCAGGGGCTCACTAGGTGACTTTGGGCAAGGTCGCACAACAACTCCATCCCAGTTTCCCCCTCCTATCAAACTCCGGTATTAGCAGCCATTCACCTCACTGAAGTGCTACGAAGCTTAATTAGAGCGTGCCCCACGCCGAGAGACCCTCCGATCAGACGCAGGAGGCAGGGGCAGCATCACGTTCGTCAGCAGAAGCCGCGGGTGTSGGTGACGACGGCGCTTCTCTCCTGCGGCTGTTAAAGCCTGCAGGAAAAACTCCCCAGCACCCCGTCCTGCACGCTGTGCTCAGAGCAGACACTGCACCCCACGGGGCATGTTTGCCTGCAGGTGACCTGAATTCCAGCCAGCTTTTCCAGATTCTGACCAAAGGAAAGCTTCCCAGAAAACATCCCAGCCCAAGACACGGAAGGCAGAGTTTTAACATTCCTCCCCATGCAAATATTCTCCCCTATTAAGTGCTTAAGGGCTGTATCACCAGGGAGATTAATTTTTGCAGCTGGACATTTGCTTTAAGAAGGTGATTTTCCACACAGTTTTCTCACTTAGCTCTTCATTCTAATCCCATAGCACTCATTGTACCCAGGTCTCTTCTGCCAACTGGGAAAGAAATATATTCAGGCACTTTAGTCGCTGTAAGGAAAAAAGAAATTAGCAATAAGCATCGTATCAGAAAACTGCATTACTACGTATTGCAACCAAGTAATTTATCTGTATTTCCAGATGACCAACATCCGGAGCACAAGACTACAAAAATCATTTGTCCAAGGATTGTAGAACTAGAGGAAACGGCCMCAAACTGAAGCAYCAAAAGTTCCCCAGGAACTTAAGGAAGAATTTCTTGACRGTGAGGGTGCCAGAGCCCTGGAACAGGCTGCCCAGGGAGGTTGTGGAGGCTCCTTCTCTGGAGATCTTCCAAACCCACCTGGACGCAGCCCTGCGCCCCGTGCTCTGGGTGTCCCTGCTGGAGCAGGCGGTTGGACTAGATGATATCTCGAGGTCCCTTCCAACCTTAGYGACTCTATGMAGGATCCCTTCTGAGCAAAGCTACACAACAGAAAGGTGAACAATGGCACAAATTTGTTAATAAATAAACAAGTGAAAGCTGGCGTATTGAAGTCATATATATTCAGGGTGTTAAGTGAGAGCTGATTGTAACAGACTAGAAAAGAGGTTTAAATTTGGAGAAGTTCATTCTCATAGCAGCACAGAATAAGAATCTAACTTTATTCTCAATAAGCTGGTACCTGGCTTAGCATCAAGGGTGATGCCCTTTCTCACAGCATCATCTGGTAAGAAAATAAGGATATTTCCTTGCAAATAGCCCCAGTTTGTACCAAAGGGCAAGTTTTTAAATAAAAGACAACCAAGAATCTGTAGACGGTTTAAATACAATGCTATGGTCAGGCACAGTAACTTCTCCAAATTCCAATTGAACTTTTTAATGCTAGGATGCAGGCATTAGGAAAACAAAGACAGTGACAAGGGAGCAGCCTCCTGATATGCCAATAAAAAAAAAGCTGCCAATAAAAAAAATCCATAATATTATACAGTTTTGTTAAAGTCAATCCACTCCTCACTGGGAAAAAAAATGAAGACAGGCCAGAGGGGAAACATTTGAATTCATCACAGTCTCCAGGAGACAGAACTTTTTTATATATATTTTCTTCCACAGTAGATTTTCTTTACAGGCAACAGGAAAGCTAGAATATATGTTCCCTTTCTTACACAAGCTTAATTTTTCTAGTGATGGTGTTAGCCTTCTCACTCACCAATTTAAGCTTCCCACTTGTCAGAGATAAACATGCCTTTCAAGTTGTTTATATCAGCCTGCCCGTTTTAATCTTCGATTCCACACTTTTGCAGTGTCCCACTGACTTCAGAAGGCTCTGTGGGATGCAGAAGCACTCGTACAGAATAGGCTTTATATTTTTTCCAGCAAATTCAACTTTAATGCTGATTAAAATATATTGCAAAATAACTGCTCTTCAATACCGAGCTCCAATAATTCCAGCAAATGAAGTCTCAGAGATCACACAGCCATCTTTTAAGCAAAAAATCTGTCCTTAAACATGTTTTCTRTATTTCAAGGAGAGCAGATTGTGGAATACTGTTATTTATTAGTATCTTCATTCTCATAGCTTTGCTTTCACACAGTCTCTTTGGCTCTAACTGGTGAAACCCATATAGCTTCTTCTACCCACCTGCCATCACTTTAAAGAAGAAAAAGAGGAGAGCAGAATGAATGGAATTAGTCACAAGGAGGCCTCAAAAGACACCTCTGGGTAGAGGAGGCATCTTTGCTTTTATTTAACTTAAAAATAGAAAGCTAAATTTTAAAAGACAAATGGATGGCTCCAAGTGGAGGTTCAGTGCTGGAAAGTGGGATCCTAGCCAGGGAAGACTTATTTATCAGAAATTTTAAGCCTATGGCAGCGAGGGCTTGTAGAGGCATCACAAGACTTGAGCGCACGCCTGCAATGTCAGCTAGAAGTCAGAGAGACGCGAAGAACCACACGGACGAAATACATCTAGTGAGGTATATGCAAAAAGAAAGGTGAACCTAACTAAACAGCTCCTGCTCCCACCTCATCTAATGTGGGATAAGGGTTTAACAGGCATACATGGAAGACAGAGCAATAGTTCTCTGAGAGGCCCTTTTGTTTTCCCTCTCCCAACTCTCATAAACTGGTTCTGTCCCACTGAACACCTGATGTTAGTAGAGATATCAAAAAAGAAAAAAAGTCTAGAGGGATTCCTGGTTCTTTGATAAAAGAAACCTTAAAAGAYTTACCAATATATATAGATTTCCTTATGGAAAAGGAGAAAAAAAAAAAGTAAACTAAAAATAGGCAAAACAACAGTTGCAAAGAATAGATACTTTATGGCTCTAGGGAAACTAGTGACGTAGCCACAGCTGCTGCCCCTGACAGCTCGGGACAGCAGAGTGACACACGGGTCCGTGCCAAGAACGGGAGCAGCTCTGGGCCGGCGCACGGGGAAGAGCGCAGAGCTTGAGGACAGGGAGGTCACCGATTACAGCGTGGAAGCCACGACGAACACAGGGCGGAAAAGAGATCTGCGGGACCAGTTGATCCAGTGCTCTCCACCCCACATGGTGCAACACATGCCACGAGTCAACAAGCAGCAGAAGAACCCCAACAACTTCCTAATCTGACTCTCCAGCAAGTGCTGAACGGAGAGTGAGGATCAGCTCAGGCAAAGGGGAGACCCGAGAGCTCCGGACGCGGCGGTGCGGGAGGCGAGCGCGGCGGAGCCGCCCCGGCCACGCAGCCTTACTTTCGTTCGGCAGCTCCTCGTCRTCGAGGGCGGCCGAGGCGCCGCTGCCGCCCTCCTCCAGCGTGAGGATGAGGGGGACGTCGTCGTCCATGCTCACGGCCATGCCGGCCGCGCGGCGGCTCCCGCTGCAGGGCCTTTGAGCGGCGGCTCCCCGGGGAAGACGGGCTGGTCACCAGCTCTCTCCAGAGAGTCTTCCATCAGGGGCCTCTTCTGGACACAAGGAGACAGAGGGCCGTGAAGCTGCCGGCCCACGCCAGGGTGCGTCAAACACCTCTGGTGACTCAAGGGCAGCTCGTACCCGAAAAGCTGGTTTTGAAGAGCGAGGCGGGCCTGCTCATTCCTGCCACGTGCCCCTGTCCCCCGGTTCTGCCGGGGGCCGGGTACCCCCACTCGTGTCCCTGTCCCCCGGTGCTGCCGGGGGCGGGGTATCCCCCACTCGTGTCCCCGTCCCCCAGTGCTGCAGGGGGCCGGGTACCCCCCACTCGTGTCCCTGTCCCCCAGTGCTGCAGGGGGCCGGGTACCCCCCACTTGTGTCCCCGTCCCCCAGTGCTGCAGGGGGCCGGGTACCCCCACTCGTGTCCCCGTCCCCCAGTGCTGCAGGGGGCCGGGTACCCCCACTCGTGTCCCCGTCCCCCGGTGCTGCCGGGGGCCGGGTATCCCCCACTCGTGTCCCCATGTCCCGGTGTTGCCAGGGGCCGGGTATCCCCCACGCGTGTCCCCGTGCCCCGGTGCTGCCGGGTATCTCCCCCCGTGGTGCCCCGTTCACGGGCGCTGCAGGGTGCCCCCCACGCGTGTCGCTGTCCCCGCAGGACCCACCTGGCGCCGCTCGGTGCCGGCGGTGCCCGCGGCGGGCGGCAGGGAGCGGGGCCGGCGGCACCGCGCGCACATGAAGCTCCCGCCGCTCCGCTACCGGTAACGTCCGAGCCACGGGTGCCTGCGAAAAGGAGGGGGGGGAATAAATAGCGACAAACTGCGCTCCCTCCGCGCACCGGAGCGAGGCCCCGCGCTCCGCCGCCAACCGGCGCCGCTCCCCGCCGAGCCCGGGCGCCTCCCCCGCCGCAGGGACCGCGAGTCACCGCGGGACCCCCCGAGTCGCCGCCATCGTCACCGCCCCCCCCGGCCCCAGCGCCGCGCACCGGCACCCGCCGCCGCTCGCCTCAGCGCACGGCGCGGCGTGGCCCCGCCCCTCCCCGCGACCCATTGGATGCCGCCAGTGCAACCCCGCCCGCATAGGCCGAGCCTTCCAACGAGCAGCCAATAGGTGCTCGACGCCCCTCTAGCCCCGCCCACCGGTGACCCTCCATCCCGCGGGACGCATCCGGATTATACCCCGCCTCCTCCCGCGGCTCTTCTCGCCGTTGGACCGCCCGGCCGCCCGTCTAGGCGAGCGCAGGCGCTGATTGGCTCGACGAGGGGGCGAGGAGGGCGCTGCTCCGCTGGGCCAAGCCCGCCCTCCGTRAGGAAGCGGCGCGCTGCGCCATTGGCTGCGCGGGGCTGCCCCGCCCCCTGGCGGCGGGGTCAGAGGTGAGCGCGGCTGTCGCGTAGCAACGGTCGCCTAGTGACGTGCAGGGGTGCGGCCTGGGCCCGAGGCTGTTCCATGGAGACAGGGCCCCCGCACCCCCCATAGCACAGGGCGGCCGAGGGACCGCGCAGCGACAGCACAGCACCCAAGCGGCCCCTGGAGACCTCTCCGACGTGATTCCGTCCCACGCACAGAGCCCTCCACCAGCTCCACGCTCTGAACCAATGGATTCCCTTTCAGCCGTGGAGGACCCCTCAGACCAAGGGCAAAAATACCTCGGGTGGGGCAAGATTCCTGAAGAATGTGCTGTTACGCTGAAGTATGATGATATGGGGGTCAAAGCCGGGCTGATTTCCACCTCAGGCTGCTTCCCACCAGGCTGCAGGTGTCTGCCGAGAAATGCGCATGAAATCAAGCTCCAAATCAGAAGAGCGAAGTGGACATGGGATAAATAATGAAGTAAATAAAAATATAAATAAATAGATTATAAATAAATAAACTATAAATAAAAATAGATAAAAGAGCTCCTTAAGTTCCCTGGCTGTTAAACAAGGAAGGCGGTGTGCCCAGGTGGATCCCCACCATGCAGCTCACACAGCACACGGCAGCGAGGGGCAATTCAGCATCTTCAGGGTTTTCCAGGGTTTTCTTTCTTTCTTTCTTAATATTTTTTTTTTTTTTTTTTTGGTTCCTGGAGGGCTGATAAACGCCACAGCACCTGGGAGCTCCCGAGCCGCCCTGTTCCGCAGGCGCATCCGCCTGCTGCTGGGGCCCAGGGTGCCCGCTCCGGCATCAGTGCCCGGACCCGCTGCCTCCATCTAGTGTCCGCGCGGTGTTTGTTCCGCTCCCTGCCCACTCGAGGGCCTCGCAGCTTGCGTGGCACCATCACAGCAGGCTCAGCTTTGTGTCGGCACCCGCTGCGCCTCCTCTGAGCGCCTCCAATTGCGTTCACGTTCCTACACTTTTTAACCACATGAAGAAACGCTGCTGGACGAGCAGCAAAACAAAATACGGAGAAGGTCCTGAAAGCTTGCAGCAAACTGCGAGTGAAGATCCTCACCTAGAGAGGTCTTGAATGACACCAGGGCTTGGGGGCTTCCCACTTGCCAGGATGGCTGGAGCACCGAGCACTGGTGGGACTGGGCAGAATTTGCCAACACACGTGCACGTTGCTGGCTCCCCTAACATCTTCCTCCATGTGCCTCACGTCAGCACATAAGCAGAGAATAAAACAGCTGCTGACCACCACCAAAATGGCTTGTCCGAGCCCTTCCGCAGGCTACTTTCTATTCCCAGCATGGGGAAGGAGGCTCCCACCCGCACCTGCATTATCCCATCCAAGCAGGGATGCTGTCTGCAAAGCAGGAGATACGGGAGGATTTTTCAAAGAAATATGAAAACGTTAGGACCTGGCACCTCTTGAGTTTCCCATCCAGGCATGAAGCCTCTTCTGGTCACTTCTGGTCTCAATACAGACTATGTACTGCATATACAATCATATATGTTTCACTTTCTTGGGAATTTAGGCTGTGCTATGTGCTACCATAAGGGGCAATACAGCCCAGGCACCTCCTCTCACATATTCTTTGCTTTAAAGAAAGAAGCAGTTTTTASGCCCGATATCCAGCGATTCTTTTGCATTCCCAGCTTGGGCGGCCGCCTCCCTTCCCATGGGAGGGCAGAGATCCTGGCTGCAAATCCCGTGTCACCTGGCCCGCGTCCTTCCTCTGCCTCCTACCTCTACTCAAAAAGGGGCACCTGAAGGACCAAGTTGCTCTTTTCCACCTCAGGAAGAGCGGGCGAGGATTCAATTTGCTACAAGAGTCTTTGGAGATATTAGCTATATCCAAGGGCTGTGCCCACGCACTGAAACAAGGGCCCAGATTTGCCTTAAAAGGTTTATTTTGGCACAAACCTGGCTCTGCTGTGACAGCACCTCAGAGTGCCCAGGGCCAGTCTCAGCATTTCAGTGCCCAGCCAGCAGGGCTCGATCCCAGRTAGCTGCTGATTTCACCAGGGCAGATCGAGCTCTGCCACACATCCCGTCGCTGTAAGAGCATCCCACCAGGAGAAGGGACAGGGCGATGCCATTCCTCACCTCTCCTCCAAATGGGGGGAAATTCCTCCCCTTGGCCAAAGGGGATTGACATTAAAATGTTAATAAATTAGAGCGAGTCCAGCAGAGAGCGACCAAGGTAGCCAGGGGCCGCAGCATGGGCCCCGTGATCAGAAGCTGCAAATAAAACCATCTTGTTGAGCCTGCAGAATGAAGGTTTGGGGAGGATCTCAGGGCAGCCCCCACAGGAGGTTACCAGGAGGATGATGCCAGGCTCTTTGCTGAGGCATGTGGCAAAGAACAGACAAGAACTGAAATACGAGAGGCTCTAGACGGACTCAAGGAAAAGCTTCTCATCGTAAGGGCAGCGGGCACTAGACCAGGCTGTCGGAGACRTCGGGTGGTCTCCAAGACCCAACTGGGTGAAGCCCCGGGCAGCCAGTTTGGCCCCACAACAGACCCTGCTCTGAGCAGTTTGGGCTAGAGATTTCCTACGGAGCCACCCAGCCTGAAGGAGGCTCTGACCRCACGGAACAGCAGGATGGAGCCAGACCCTGCTGCCTGACAAGTGGCCACCRGAGGTTCATGTCAGGGCACCAACAGACCCGAACTACCCTGGGACTTTCACCAGGCACCGTCTGCTCCACGGACCAGGAGCCCCATCCGTATGGAGGTCCCATGCCCCATCCTGCCCTGTGCCCTGCAGCGGCACCTGCATCCAGTCAGGACTCCTGCAATCTTGACTGCACATCCTGCACAGACAGCCGGACTCGTTATCCTGCCCCGTCTGTCTGATAATCCCTGGACAGGCAAACGAAGGCTGTAGCTACCACAGGGCTGTCCTGCTCCGGGAGGGCGCTCGCTGCCCTTGCGGTCACTCTCGGCTCCCTGCTCATCCTCCCTCCTGGAGCAACCCCCCGTCCTGCTGCTTCCCAACGGCTCCGTCCCTTGTGTGCAGCTGCAGGAGGCTCCAAGGACCTCAGAGACCTGCTCATTGGGACGTCCAGCCCTGACATGGATAAATTAGGGGTGTATTTACACAGAGAGGGGTGTTTCCGTCACTTCCARGGAGGCCTGGGTTTGCAAACATCCGTGGCCCTGGAGTTCCTGGCAAAGGCAGGTGCAGACACGCTGCTAGAGCGAACCCTCATCAGAGGGCCGCGGGGCGTTGCAGGAGCTGTCGCAGGACACGGCGTTTTGTGCTTGTCTGTCCTGGCGTTGCCTGAAGCCGCTCGGAGGCTGTCCGGGGTGTTCAGCCGCGTGAGGGACTGGGAACGTCCCCTGTTGGGAATGCGCCGGTCCCCAGGGTCCGGATCGCTCTCAGGCTGGTTCCAGATGCAGGATTTGCCCCTGCGCTCCGTGCCGAGGTTTCCTAGCGCCGGGGCTCCCGGGTGGACGGCTCTCACGGGCGTCTCCTTGGAGCGGGGCGAAAGGCCGGGCTGGTGCCGGGGKGCGGCCGAGGGGCTCCACAGCAGCGCACGGAGCTTGGCCACATCCTCCCTCTTCATCCAAGACGCTGCCCAGGCCGGATCCTCCCGCTTGCCGAACAGGGACTCGTCGCAGTAGGACGGCGCGTGGCTCCTCAGCCTTCGCGGAGAAGCAAGGAGAGAGAGASACGTGTTGCTGTGCAGGACGGGGGAGACGGCAGCGAGGCCCAACGCCGCGCGCCAAGGCAACGGGCACGGAAAAGGGGGGAACGGCACCGGAGCGGCCGGCTCCCCGCGGAGCGCGGC